GTATAATATCTAATATTATATGCAATGTCTCATAAATCTAACAATTATAGTCGTCTAAATTAAATCAAAATTTTGGGATCGAGATAATTAAACAATTAATTAATCATATTAATTAATTAATTTAATCGACGGGCCTATTTAATTAAAATCAAATTTTAACTAAATCCCGAATTAGAGTCCAACTCTAATTCCACAACTATAGGGCGAAGTAATTTAATCAAAATCAAATTTTAATTAATTATTAAATTAGAGTCATACTCTAAGTTCTAATTAGCATTGGGAAGTGGTGCTAATTCAAAACAAATTTTAATTAATGTAATATTAGAGTCCAACTCTAATAAAATTGAATTAATATTTTAATTTAGGACAAAATTCTCTAACAAAATAAAATTTAATTAAGGGTCAAACTAAATATTTAAGTTAAAATCTAATTTTAACAAAAATATAAAAGTCGTCAAATTTTAAATAAATTTTTAATTCTGGGTCAAAATTAGGATATGGGTCAAACCCAATTAAAAACTCATTTATAAAACAATTCAAAATTCAAAATCAAAACCTTTTGAAAATTTACAAATTTTACCCAAATTGGAAATTATCAACAGACCCTTTCAAACTCAAAATTTACAGAACAGGTCCCTGATTTTAAAATTGCAAATTGGCCCCATTTTCGTAATTGCAACCAGGGGCTCCTAATTACATTATTTGCAACATAGGCCCCCGTCTCCACCAAACCCTTAAAAAAAATTTTTTAATTTATTTCCAGTGGTGGCGCCAGTGCCCAACTGCAAAACGACGAGTAGCGCCTGCCGCCCGCCTCGACCTAAATTTTTTTTTTAAGAACAGATTCAAAAAAAAAATAAAAATAAAACTATATTTGTTAAATTTAGGAATGAACATGATTAAACTAACATTTAATTTAATCAACACGTAAAACAGTTCCTAACAAATACAAAGTTGACTCTGATACCACTGTTGGAAATTTACTTAAACATGCACAGCAGAATTTAACAAATTTTAATTCTCATTCAGGATTCAGCTTTGTATTTTGATAAAAATTATGATAAAAAATATACATTTTCTTTTAATTTTCAAACTCCTTAGCGTTATTCCTCTCCAGCAACTTGAATCTGCCTCCCACAGCTGTCCAATTGCCCAACTTCCAATGAAATCCTTACAGAGAACAGACTGCAACTGCTAGGGTTTTCCTCTTGTGCCAGCAAGAATAATGAAAATCTTATGGATCTCAAACCCTAGCTATGTATTTATATAAACCCAAACGGACCCCGGCCCGGTCCGATCCAATATTAAATTAATCCAATTAATTAAACCCGGTCCGTGAATTAATTAATTCAATTAATTAATTCGAGAATATAAATAACAAATCCAATTAATTAATTTATCCAACGATTGTTAAATTAACCAATTGGCAGTTTGCAATCTTCCAATTCTCTTTTGTGTGCGACCCATTAGGTTCCTAACCACGATACTTAACGACGTGAAATATTATTTTGATCTAATCAAAATTGATAAATTAAAACATCCTTTTAATTTATCGTCAATTCACATTCGCCGTCCCTGATTGACATCTAGCAATGTGTCAGGGCAATACATGTGACGGGAAATGTCACGTGGTATGACAAAACCAAATTCGTTCGTTTACCGTGAAACTATAATCCCTTCGTCAATATGATCCGATCAATTACGAGATATGGAATTGTGTCAATCTCGATCATCGATCATATCTTTCACTCCACTATTAAGTCAATATAAATCTAAAACTCCTTTTCGACTTATGAGTACACCTTGGCCAAGGATTTCATCATCGACTTAATTGAATGAAGCGCAGATCATAATCTCCTACTATCTAAGAGTGACGAATCCTTTATTGATCAATTACAACCTTCATACGATTCTTGATGTACCCGAACGATGTCGTATTAGCGGCCCTTTTCAGAGCAACATCCAATACTGCCAAAGTATGACTGTCCTCATATAAGATACCATGACGACCTCAAGTCAAAGGACCAATTCCACTACCGAGCGTTAGAAATTAACCACTGATACTCAGATAGTTATCCATGTGGAATCTCTAGCGGGTCTCCAATGTTTTGTTCTATAACAAAACATTTACGTGTTCATTTAAGTGTCACCACACTTTAACTCGTGAGATCAGCTACTTACTTCACAAGTAAGAAATGCCACACGTGATGGTCTAACTGTATTAACGATATCCGTATCTCGTTATTACTTACGACCATGGTTTATTCAAGATCCAATTATATGTAATTTGTATCTCACAATCACAACTCCTTGTGATTAACAGATTACCTAAAAATTGGATCTTCGGATTCTATTATTTAATATTATTTATCACAAAATTAATTTAAATAAACAATAGATCTCGCCAAAATCAAATGCATTAAACATATTAAAAGCATTTTCAACCTAAATCGATTGGATCTAGGGCATAACACTTACAAGCATGAGGATATTTAAGCTGCAACTCATCATGGTATCAGAGCTATGAAGCTTCACACAATGGCGAAGGATTCCAGCGTTCGGGCGAAAACTCAGAGTAAATCTAGTGTTGATGCAGTCAATTCACTTGTTGAAGAGACAATTGATGAAGATGCAATTTCTCTCACCAACAAATTGATGAGTGATCCAAACAGCCCATACTACCTTCACTGCGGTGATAACACAAGGATGCAACTCGTATCAATTGTGCTCAATGAAGATAACTATGTGACGTGGAGTCGAGCAGTGATTATGGCACTAAGTGTTAAGAACAATGAATGTTTTATTGAGGGATCCATTTTCAAATCGTCTCAGGGTAATTCCCTCTATAGTGCTTGGATGAGGTGCAATCATGTGGTTTCCTCCTGGATCATTAACTCCATTCCAAAGGAGATTTATCCAAGCGTGATGCACAAGGAGTCCGCGAGATAGATCAGGATTGAGCTTAGGGATCGTTATAGTCAAGCTAATGGTCCTCACGTATATGAACTCAAGAAGCAAATTGTTTCAATCTCACAGGGAAACAACTTTGTTAATTCCTACTTCAATCGGTTCAAAGGTCTTTGGGAGGAATTGGATAATTATAGACCAGAAATCAGTAATTCTGATTATAGACGTGAAGATCAGATTATGCAGTTTCTCATGGGGCTAGATGAGCATTTTCTCTAGTGTCAAGAGCCAGATCTTATTGATGGATCCATTGCCGTCTTTAAATAAAGTGTTTGCATTGATTTTGCAAGAAGAAAGGCAGAGAGAAACAAACATTTGATGTATCGGGGTAATGCATAATTCCTTTAATGGTCAGAAGTCCTTTCCCATGCATCAAACGCAGAAACGCGAAAGGCCTATTTGCAGTCACTGTGAAATGCTTGGATATTCTAAAGGAAAGTGCTACAAGTTAATAGGTTATCCCCCTGGTCACAGACTTGCTAAAAGAAAGTCTCTTACTGCAAATGCTCTTGGTCATGTTCACGGTAATAGCCTAGAAATGCTGAATTTTCCTTCAAGTCTCAATATTACTCCAAGCCAGTGTCAACAACTCTGGGCTATGCTAGTGCCACAACTACAATGATAGTTATCGCCAAGCACTTAACAGTCTCAAGATGTGTCCTCTTTCTCATCTTCTGTACTAAATGCATTTGCTTTCTCAGGTAATCGTGGTTTTCCTAATGACTCCATGGTTGAGGAAAAATGGATCATAAATACCATAGCATCGGAACATATGGTATGCTCTATTAAACACTTAACCACCGTAAGTACTACTATTAGTGCATCTGTGAGGCTACCTAATGGTGCCAATGCTGCTGTAACACATATTGGCACTATAAAGTTATCTGATACCTTAATTAGTCTTGAAGGATGTTTTAGTTGTGCCGTTCTTTAATTTTAACTTGATCTCTGTCAGTAGTTTAATCCTTAAACACAATTGTTTTCTTATATTCATCCAAAATTATTGCTTCATACATGATCTTTCAACATGGAAGATGATTGGGACAGGAAAACTTGAGGCTGGATTGTATCGTTTCCAACAGCCTGTCCATCAATCTAATGGTCAATCTTCAGACTACAATTCGCATCCTCTCACAAGTTCCAATAGTATTCTCGATGTTTCTTTTAGCCGCAATCATATTCCTATGTCATCTTTGAATTGCAATAAAAAACTCTATGTTGCTTGTAATTCTCTGAACAATGGTGGTATCAAATCAAACATTGATGTTTGGCACTATCGTTTAAGACATATTCCAAATTCAAAATTGTTAACCTTAAGCAAAATTTTTCCTACAATTACAATGGATGAAGGTCTACATTGTAATGTATGTCCTATGGCTAAGCAACATCGATTATATTTTCCTATCAGTGTGACTAACACTTCTCACATATTCGAACTCATTCATCACGATATTTGGGGTCCCTAATCCGTTCCTTCTCTAGATGGCTTTAGGTATTTTCTCACAATTGTCGATGATTATTGATAAGTGTGTTTTTACACACTTATTTAATATCTAAATATATTATTAATTGATTAAATGAGCGAATTTCTACTCACAATTATGTAATTTATGCTTTTGTAGGTAAAAAATCACACAAAAGAAAGAGAACAAAGCAAAATGAGTGAAAAGGGACCAAAGTGTGCAAAATTGTGAAATGGGGACCAAGGAAAATAAGTCAAAAATTTGAAGGACCTTTAGATGCAATTTATGGAGGGCAAAATTGATATAAAAGTCAAACTTAAGGACCATATTGTATAAGACCTATTGTGCAATTACCTAAGGGACTAAGCTGCAATTTACACCAAAACCCATTTTTTGGCTGCTGGACAGAAACAGGGTGCCTAGGCGCCGTTTTTTATATAAAAAAAGGGCCCAGGACCAATTTGTTCATTTTCCAAACTTCAGGGACCATGGTTGCAATTTTTCTAGGTTTTATAATTAAAACTAGCAGCTGGGCACGATTTCTGGGTCTTCTTCTGCTGGCTTCTGCTTCTTCATTTTCATTTTCATTTTCATTTTCTTTTATTTTTCTCCTTCTAATTTCTTGATATTTTGGAGATCAAACCTAGAGCACAACGAGATTCAATCAAAGGATTTGGTAAGTTTTTAGAGAAATCAAAAGCAAGCAATTTCATCTTCAAAGATCCAACAAAAGGAGGTTTTATCTATAATCTTGTATTATTCTCATTACTTTGTCAAACTTGCAATGTATTGTATAAAATATTCTCCTTTTATTCATATATATAATATTGGCTAATTATTTGTGTTGGGATTTATGGTTGTAGATTAACCTAGTTTTGATTAATTTTAATATTTGCTCTTTAATATTAAGTTGTTTATTTTCATGTGTTCCTACTATTATATTTCATGTATTTTTATTTATGTGTAGAGGATAGAGATATACTCCTAACTCTAGGTGACTCATTGAGTTATTTTCACAAATATTGAGTGCGATTGTTAGGTTCTAATCGACATAGAGATATAGTAGGTTAAATCAATTAATTAAGGTTAATTTCACCCAAGAGAGGTAATTAACTAAAATTGGAAGATCGGGTCTAACATCGTAAATGAGTAATTCATTTATTGGCTTGTGGAGAAATTAATTAGATGACGGTTAAGCGAAACCATGAATCCCAACCACGTTGTCCTTCGAAATTTTCAAGATTTTATATTTTCTTATTTTGTAGGTTTTTAGTTAATTTCCTTATTTCAGAATCATATTTTAATTGTATGTTCATTTTTTTATTGTTAGAATTAAATTAATTAAGGTTGTGTAATTTAAAGTATACATTCCTTGAGGGATTGACAATCTGGACTCAAAAGCTGTACACAATTTGAATTGGTGGTAGTGTGGTGTAGGTGGCGTTGGTGGTGGTGGTGTGGTGTGGTGTGGTGTGGTGTAGGTGGCGATGGTGGTGGTGGTGGTGGTTTTTTTGTTGAATTGGTGTTTGTTTTATTGACGGTGTTGGTGCGGTGTAGTTGATGGTATGGTGCAAACGACAAATGCACAGTGGTGATTTGTGACCAAGACTGGTGCTGGATCGGGATCGGTGGTGGGGGTATTTGGTGCATGTGACCAACTATTTAGAATATGTGACAAATAAAATTGAATATTTTTGACCATGTGACTTGTAATTTTTTTGATCCGTGACAAATAAAATAATTTGTGACATATAAATTTTTTATCTATGATCTTGAAATAATCTGTGACCTACAAAATTTTTGATTTGTGATCTCGAAATAATATGTAACCAATTAATTCAATGATATGTGACCAATAAGTAAATATGTGACAATTAATCGTGTAATTGTGGCTTTATTATATTTAATTAATAAATATTTTCAATTAATTATACAGAAAGTTGAATTTTGAATTTTTAAACTTTGTATCTGATTTGTGAATTGGTGTAAACAATATACCTGACATATGAATTTTTTTTCCGTGAATTTATGTTCGATTTGAAAAATTGAATTTTGGATTTGGGCTAGATATTAGGTTGGGTGGGTTTTAATTATCGGTTTAATTTGGGTCCAATTCGCATAGGGCCCTAACTAGTTTGGTTGGGTGTGCGAAGTTGGGTTCCGGATATTGGATTTGGGTCCTAATTAGTTGGGTCAAGTATAAATTTATTTTGGGTTTAGATGTAGTTAGATTTTGGATTTGGACTAGATATAAACTTGAGTGGGTTTCAATTTGAGGAAATTAGGCCCTATACCCTCCTTTTTTAATTGTTTTGATTAATACCCTTAATTAACTTAACATTTTAAAAGGCAGTAAAATTTACGTCCAAAACATAACCCCGTTAACAAGCCCAAACCTAACCCATATATTTACACTCCCCAATAATATTCTAGACTCTTCGTTCTGTAGAAAATAAGATAGAAATTGTCGGAGTCGTTCTCTAGGAAGGTGACAAATTTTGACTTCTAATCTCCATCTCCGACCTATTTTCCGGCGATTTCTTCTTCATCTTTGCTTCGTATGCGTTCGGCTTCACTGTCTTCTTTTCATTTCGACCCTAAATCCCAAATAGTCTAAACCCTAGATTCGAAATCCACGATTCCGACTATTGAATCCTGTTCTTGCAATGGCTTGAAATGGCAAATAAATCTTGAAGAGGAACCATCCTCAAAGAAGAGGGAAAAAAAAATTCTTCATCCTTTAAAACCAAGGTAGCAACATTTTTTTTTTTTTTTTACTATGGCTGTAGTAATCAGTTTGCCCATTATGTTTAGTTTTGTGTTTTGTTTTGTTTTTGTAGTAATTGAATCACATAGTTTTTTCATGTGATTAGGACTTCACTTTTAATTGCAAAAGGGACTTGTAGATAGTGGCATGTAGTAGCAGAACTCTCTGATATTGTAGATGTATTTAATATTCTGGTGGAAACTTGGAGTGACGTGATTTTTTCTTCCTTGCATTATGAGTTAAGGCAAGAAATCTGTGTGTGAATATCAAATTGAAGAGGCAAGTTCCCTGTTTATTTTAATTTTGTGTACCATTTTCAGTTTCTGTGGTACTTGTAGGCTGTAAGTATATTTAAATCATAGTATGGGTTAAAACTATAAATTGTGTGATGTGTCCTTTGAATTGGTTATAATTTACACCATAAACTATAAATTGTGTGCTAACTCTCCTTTGTATTTGGGAGGGATTGTAGATCACTAGATAAAAATATTTTCTTAAGCTTATTTTGTTCGTGTTTATGTAAATATCGGAGCATTTCTTGAAAATAAATCTTCTCTATACTCTGTCACCCTCTGTCCTTGATTTCTTGTAAAAATTATGGAATTCACTTGACACATAACTCTAGTGTACTGTATTGAACAAGTGTGCACAGGTACCACAGAAACAATAGAAGTCAAAATTGTTAACCACACATTATGATTAGTGCATAAAAATACATACTTTAGTTAATTAATTAATAGCATTTGTTTAAAATATGTGATTCTTTTTGTCATTTCTAGATAAATCCAAAAATGGTGATACTGATTAATGTTTGCTGAGGCAGGAAAATAATCAAAGATTTCATGGAAAATAATGACTGATTTTACAAGGTAAAGTTACCAATGAAGTGCTAATTGTTGTAGAACTCTTATCTCATACATAAACGGCCGGCGGGAATGATGAGCAACTTTGACCGAAACTGAACTCATAAACCTTTCTAAAGCTGAACAAAGTGTACACAGGGAAATAATTTTTGCTTTTCCCCCTCTTAATCTTATTGGTTTTGGTTGAGTTTGCTTGTTTGAGGCTATTTTCCTCTTTTATGATTCTATTCTTAAACTTTAGTTTGGTGCATATTTGTCATTGTTTAAATGATTATATTTGTCTAGCTTCCCTTGTGTCACTTTTTTCTGTTTTTATTTCACATTTTTTTTTTTAAATTTTTGTCACTTTTTTATTTATTGTTACTTTTTTAAGCATATGCACTCTTTTAGTTGTTGTACATTACAAACATGTTTGAAACGTGTGTGTTAAATTAGACAAGTTAAGCTGATGTGATCTTTTGATCAAGGAAACTCAACTCTTTTGTCCACAAATCTGTATGTTTATCACTTTTTTGAGATATTGTCACTTTTTTTATTCTGTGTTACTTTGGTTGCTTTAAGTCAAGTAATTTGAGAATGCTTCATGCTACGTCATATGAATGATGTGATTTAATAATCTAGTTTTAAAGTGATCTTTTGATCAAGGAAGTTCAACTCTTTTGTCCACAAATTTGTATGTTTGTCACTTTCTTGAGATATTGTCACTTTTTTTATTCTGTGTTACTTTGTTTGCTTTAAGGCAAGTAATTTGAGAATGCTTCAAATGTGCTACGTCATATGAATGATGTGATTTAATAATCTAGTTTTTGAGTGATCTTTTCATCAAGGAAGCTCAATTCCTTTGTCCACAAATCTGTATCTTTTGTCCACAATTCTGTATGTTTGTCACTTTTTTTATTCTGTGTTACTTTGTTTGCTTTAAGGCAAGTAATTTGAGAATGCTTCAAATGTGCTACGTCATATGAATGATGTGATTTAATAATCTAGTTTTTGAGTGATTTTGACTCTTTTGTCCACAAATCTGTATGCTTGTCACTTCTTTGAGTGATCTTCATAAGAATGCATGCACATCCCTAATTACAAATGTTATAATGTTTTTCTTAATATTGTTTAGTGTAATTTATCATATATATAATTGATTATTTTAAGGGATTGAATTAATTAATATTAATTATGTTTGTTAGAGCAAGAAAAGTTGATGATAGTAGCTTAGGAAGTTGTGAACCGGCAAAAGATGAGGTGACAACTAAGGTATTACCTTTCATTTAATGTTTAGTTTTTTATTTGTCTAAATTCTTCTTCTTTTTGCTTGTAATGGAGATTGTGGAGTTTATGTCATTAGGTATGAACAGTACTTCTTGAATGAACGGTTAGATGAAATGCCGAAGACATTCAACATTTCGCATATTCGAAGAAATTTATGTGTCCCGTTGTATGCTTATGCCAAGAAGCAGCAAGATGAGGACTTTGACACGGACAATGAATGGTCATCAAAGGAAGTAGATTAGTGATATGTTGATGAGAAGAGATAGAGATGAATGTATAGGACTGACAAGAAAATAGTTATTGTGTTTAAATTCTGACAAGATAGGTTTTGACTGCTCTAACAGTTTTTATTTTTAGCTTTTGTGGTCATGGTGCGTATAATTAATGATAAATTGTCACTTTTTTGTTATGAAGTGACTACTTGGGCATGAATTTTAACAGTGAAAAAATGATTAAATCATATTTTGTGCATTAATTTGATCAAATTTTGTGTATTGATTTTGTGCATTACTTTGATCAGATGTACATATCATTTTAATAGGCATTAAGATATTAATCATCTTGCAATATCTGAAAAAGTGACATATTAGTGCAACAATGTCACTTTTTAACAAAAAAGTGATACGTCACTTTTTTTTATTTGTAACACGTAAACATTTTTTTTTTTTGTTTTTGTAACACAACATCATATGAAAATTTCAATCTAACCTCATTTTTTTTAGCATCCATCATCACAAGTATAACAAAGCATTCTTTAACAAAGTCGCATCCATCAAAAATCATCGTCACTTTTTTTTAACAAAGTCAAATATACAATGAACATTATATATGCATGTGTCAATATTATTGGTTCAAACTTTATTTTTCATATGTATTACAAGAAAATTGGGCTTTAATTGGTATGTTCAAATTTCAAAAAATGAACGCGTATGCATCTAGTTAATTGCTCAAAGGAGATTCTGTGACTTTTTCTGAAAAAAGTGACATTTCGTCACTTTTTCACATTCTTGTTGATCAAACATCATGCACGCATCAATATAATTAATTATAAGTTTTCTTTTCCATATATATTTCAAGAAAATAAGGCTTTAATTAGTATGTTCAAATTTTCAAAAATGTACACTTATGCATCTAGTTAACTGCTCAAAGTAGATACGGTGACTTTTTCTTTCACACTCCTCTTGAATCAAACATCATGCATGTGTCAATATTATTGGTTCAAACTTTTCTTTCCCATATGTATTACAAGAAAATGGGGTTTTAATTGGTATGTTCAAATTTCAAAAAATGCACACGTATGCATCTAGTTAATTGCTCAAAGGAGATTCTGTGACTTTTTCTGAAAAAAGTGACATTCCGTCACTTTTTTACATTCTTGTTGATCAAACACCATGCACGCATCAATATAATTAATTATAAGTTTTCTTTTCCATATGTATTACAAGAAAACAAGGCTTTAATTAGTATGTTCAAATTTTTAAAAATGCACACGTATTCATCTAGTTAACTGCTCAAAGTAGATATGGTGACTTTTTTTAGAAAAGTGACGTTCTGTCACTTTTTCACACTCCTCTTGAATCAAACATCATGCATGTGTCAATATTATTGGTTCAAACTTTTCTTTCCCATATGTATTACAAGAAAATGGGGCTTTAATTGGTATGTTCAAATTTCAAAAAATGCACACGTATGCATCTAGTTGCTCAAAGGAGATTTTGTCACTTTTTTTTTGAAAAAAGTGACATTCCGTCACTTTTTTACATTCTTGTTGATCAAACACCATGCACGCATCAATATAATTAATTATAAGTTTTCTTTTCCACATGTATTACAAGAAAACAAAGCTTTAATTAGTATGTTCAGATTTCCAAAAATGCAAACGTATGCATCTAGTTAACTGCTCAAAGCAGATACGGTGACTTTTTTCCTATAAAAGTGACGTTCTGTCACTTTTTCACGTTCCTCTTGAATCAAACACCATATATGTGTCAATATTATTGGTTCAAAATTTTCTTTCCCATATGTATTACAAAAAAATGGGGCTTTAATTGGTATGTTCAAATTTCAAAAAATGCACATGTATGTATCTAGTTACTTGCTCAAAGGAGATTCTGTGACTTTTTTTTTTTTTGAAAAAAGTGACATTCCGTCACTTTTTTACATTCTTGTTGATCAAACACCATGCACGCATTAATATAATTAATTATAAGTTTTCTTTTCCATATGTATTACAAGAAAACAAGGCTTTAATTAGTATGTTTAAATTTCCAAAAATGCACACGTATTCCATCTAGTTAACTGCTCCAAGTAGATACAGTGACTTTTTTCCTATAAAAGTGACGTTCTGTCACTTTTTCACACTCCTCTTGAATCAAACACCACGCATGTGTCAGTATTATTGGTTCAAATTTTCTTTCTCATATGTATTACAAGAAAATGGGGCTTTAATTGGTATGTTCAAATTTCAAAAAATACACACGTATGCATCTAGTCAATTGTTTAAAGGAGATTCTGTGACTTTTTTTGAAAAAAGTGTCATTCCGTCACTTTTTCACATTCTTGTTGATCAAACACCATGCATGCATCAATATAATTAATTATAAGTTTTCTTTTTCATATGTATTACAAGAAAACAAGGCTTTAATAATTATGCTCAAATTTTCAAAAATACACACGTATTCATCTAGTTAACTGCCCAAAGTAGATATGGTGACTTTTTTTCTAGAAAAGTGACGTTCTGTCACTTTTTCACACTCCTCTTGAATCAAACACCACGCATGTGTCAATATTATTGGTTCAAACTTTTCTTTCCCATATGTATTAAAAGAAAATGGAGCTTTAATTGGTATGTTCAAATTTTAAAAAATGCACACGTATGCATCTAGTTAATTGCTCAAAGGAGATTCTGTGACTTTTTTTTGAAAAAAGTGACATTCCGTCACTTTTTTACATTCTTGTTGATCAAACACCATGCACGCATTAATATAATTAATTATAAGTTTTCTTTTCCATATGTATTACAAGAAAACAAGGCTTTAATTAGTATGTTCAGATTTCCAAAAATGCAAACGTATGCATCTAGTTAACTGCTCAAAGCAGATACGGTGACTTTTTTCCTATAAAAGTGACGTTCTGTCACTTTTTCACACTCCTCTTGAATCAAACACCACGCATGTGTCAATATTATTGGTTCAAACTTTTCTTTCCCATATGTATTACAAGAAAATGGGGCTTTAATTGGTATGTTCAAATTTCAAAAAATACACACGTATGCATCTAGTCAATTGCTTAAAGGAGATTCTGTGACTTTTTTTGAAAAAAGTGTCATTCCGTCACTTTTTCACATTCTTGTTGATCAAACACCATGCACGCATTAATATAATTAATTATAAGTTTTCTTTTCCATATGTATTACAAGAAAACAAGGCTTTAATTAGTATGTTTAAATTTCCAAAAATGCACACGTATTCCATCTAGTTAACTGCTCCAAGTAGATACGGTGACTTTTTTCCTATAAAAGTGACGTTCTGTCACTTTTTCACACTCCTCTTGAATCAAACACCACGCATGTGTCAATATTATTGGTTCAAACTTTTCTTTCCCATATGTATCACAGGAAGATGGGGCTTTAATTGGTATGTTCAAATTTCAAAAAATGCATACGTATGCATCTAGTTAATTGCTCCAATGACATGCCGTAACTTTTTGAGAAAAGTGACAGAATGTCACTTTCTCCTTGAGAAAACACCTTGCATGCGTCAATATGATTGATTCTAAGTTTTCTTTTTCATATGCATTACCAGAAAATAGGGATTGGACTATTATGTTCAAATTTCCAAAAATGCAATGTTAATTATCTACATTATAAGGTTTAAACTAAACCTAACCATGAAATTCAAATAAAAAGTGAGACATACAATGAACTGTGATTATTAGAATTTGTGAGTGAGATTAATTAGCTGAAAATTGTTAATTACAGTTTTACTTTCATAATCTATATGCAAAGAGAATACTAAAAAATCTTAAAATAATAAAATTGAGAAATTAATCAAAGGAGGAGTCAAAAACAAAAAAAAAAAAAAAAAACCTGTGATTTTGTTTGTGTAGAACTGGAATATTTTCTAGATCTTTTTCCATAGCTTTCAATATTGAAATAGTCTTGATCTTTTTCCAAAACTTTGAATATTGAATGAATTTGTGGAAGATTTCCTCTCCCTCCTTTCAATTTGCCCTTGATTTTTTTCAATTTGGAGGTTGGTTTTCAGCTTTCAATGTCGACTTTTAGGTTTGGACGTATTTTTTACGTTAAAATATAAGTAATTATCATTTAATTCAACTCTATCATGATTTTTCAAAATAGTCCCTAAATATAGGGTATTTTTGTAAGTACCCCTTTTAATTTTGGGTTTCATTGGGTCCGATTCATTTTGGGTTTGGGTCCTAATTAGTTGTGTTGGGTATGTGAAAGGAGTTGGGTTTTGGATTGGGCTAATATTAACTTGTGTGGGTTTTGGATTGGGCTAAAAATTTAACTAATTTGATTAATACCCTATTAACTGATTAATACCCTATTAACTAATTAAATAATTTAACCATGTATTTAATACATTCTAAAACTATCAAAACCACCCCCAAAACCCAAATCAATCCCAATTTCCAAAAAGGTCCCAAAGAAACTTTTCCCCATATGACATATGTTGTAATTTACATTTGTAAATTAATTTATTGTTGAGCTCCATGTTTGAACAACGTGCTATTGTAACATTCATTAATATGTAAAGCACAAATATTTACATTGAAACATATTATGTTCAGGATTCACACAATTTGAGACTCTTTCAAAACTCTTTCACATTTCATCATATAAGAAGCTAATTCACATAATGTATGTGATATGATTGAAGAATACTTGATAGCTAATGGATATAAATAATAGAATTCAAGTGAAGGGAAAAATTAATTAAAAAACTAAAGCCTGAAAAATAAAGTTGATCTTGTTCAAAATTTCAATTGAGAATTATATATTCATCATAGCCAAACTAAAACTGCTTGTGTGGATATCTAAGGAATTACACTTTATCGTACTCAATAAGAACCTACTAATTGTTTTCGTGAGTGTATATGTGCACATGCTTGTCTGCATATTAAGGAAACTGAGGAGCAGGTTCAGTAAGATTCAGAGCTGCTATTGTCAATGCTGTAACGTGCCGAGCACGAACAAAAATAAAATATTGAACTTGAATATCCATTGCTGCAAAAGAATAAACTTATGTCACTTAGTGAACAGATGTCATGTCAAATTAAAACATTTGCCAATTGTTGAATCTGGATTATGCTTATGCACCTATGGAATACTGGCTGGGTAAACTGTCTAGAGCCACAAGTATATATTCAAAAATTGAATGCCACAAAAATCCAACAACATTGCAATCTTATTTAA